ACCGGAAATAAATATTGCACCAACAAAACTTCATTTTAAGTAGGAAGTTGTGTATTTCATTGGATAAATGATTGCTTTTTTTTCTTGTTTCTTTCAATTTTAGAGGACAACAAACACAAGGATTAAATTATGATACAACATTAGAATTTTTTGATGAAATAGATCCAAAAGTAAGTTTATTCTGTTTCATATTATAATGAATAAGCGCTATACATCCTAAAATACTTTTGAAGAAAGATCATAGCGACAAAAAAAAATGGTTTTCAGCTTGTAAAAACTGTTTAACGGGTGTGCATCAAATATTTAAGCCCATTCCTTTCCCTCAAAAAAGTCAATTATCGAAACTAAGTTAAATGCATGGGACAATAGCCCAAGGGCAGTGCAACTCTAAGTGTTTGTGGTTATTGTACCATGTATGATGTATCTTTGCTCCTAAAAATAGTTGTTCGTTCTCTTGAAGTTTTAAATCGTCTTCTCTGAAGAGAAAAATTGAATAAAATACTAATGCAATATCTTCTTTTTTGCGAAAGTTATGGATGATTTTTCTCATCACCTGCTTGAAACATACGTCTTTTTGTTCTCACATCCTAGAATTCTTGAAGGAGCTTCATTGTAACTTATCGGTTTTTTATCGTTTGAAAGAACATGTCAAGATATAGGACATGACGAAAGCCTTTTTTTTGAGTTAAGTTTTCTTTTTACTATTATATAAATGTGTACTTTTATAATTAGAGCGCCATTTTTTTGAAACATGAGCTTTTCTCCCCTTAATGAAAACAAGGACCATGCCATGATCAGCATTCTGATATGCTCTTTCAAACAAAAAGCAAACTAAGTATATATAATGAAAATCCATAGGGAATTTCGAGCTGTTAAATGAGCTATTTTGACTCTTGTTTGTTGAATATCTTCGGAAAATTTCATGCAATTTGAATGTACGCTGTCCAAGATCGATTTTTGAGAGGCGGGGCTTAAACACCTTTAGAAAGATCGAATATTAAACATCATATCCACTCTCGAAATATATGACTAAAAGAGAACTAATATTTTATTCTTAAGTGTACATCAGATAGAATTTAAAGAACTCGAAATTTTTGTTACACAAAAGTTCGTCCAATGTTGTAATATACTTTGCGTTAAATCTAAAGTCTTTACAGATAGTTTAACAAATCTTAAAAAATTGAACTGTGTTTTAGCGAATTACATCAAAAGTTTATTTTAAACGAATAATATAAAGGAACAAATATTAAAAAATAATTGTTTTATATTTTTGTTTTTTTAGATATCAAAATATCGTAAAACAAGTCAAAATCATTGGGAATTCATGTTAAAAAAGAAAGATTCAACAAAACCATTTTGGAAACGATTAACTAAATCTACTGAAAAAGTATTTATTAGCAAATATTTATTTTTTAATCATTTTCTCTTTTTCTTTTTTTTAGTGTTCATGGATTACCGTCGATTGGAATCATTTTACAGCTGAAGGTAAATATGATAATCAAAACAAACAAAAAGATTCTTTCGTTTTTTTTTTCAAAATAATTAGCTGATGATGATGATGAAATGGATGTTGCTGGTGGTAAAGATTGGGGTGATTTAGGTAAATAAATTTGCAAAAAAGTTGTTTGTATTATTTATTTATTTCTTTTTAAGATGGTATGTTTAAACAAATGGGTGCTGGTGGTGGTGGTGCTGGTTTAGGAGGTACATCAGAAACTGATCTCAACGATCTTGATGATGAAGAAACAGATAGTGACGATGAACCAATGCCGGATCTTGAAGATGTACCGAAAACTGATGATGAAAAAGCCAAATCTAATGTAACAAATGAACAAACTAAATAAATGAATGCTCTTTTTATATAACACAGACACACGCACTAATGTATTGACGTGCTTTTAAACAAGAGCGTGTTAAATGTGTATTCATTGTTATATCTACTGTAAAACTGTTGTCATACGTTTTTTTTTTTCATTGTTCTTTTTTTAATTTACTTATCAGTCAATGTTTTAGAAAAAAAACCGCGTGTGTGCTGTGATTTGTTGCCTATGAAAAAAAATAAAATAAAACAGTACAAACAATAAATTCAAGTTTTTTCCTTTTTTTTATTATATTTATAATTTCAATAATTCATTACTCAAAAAAAAAACATTTCATTTGTTAACAAGAACTTTCATTCTTTTGTTTTACAAAAACGAAAAAAAAAAGTTTTATTTTCTAGAAAAGTTTCTGTAGAAAAATAAATGTCTTGAATATTAAGTTTCTAAATATCCGATCAATTTTCAAGACTTTCAATGATAAAAATCTTATGTTTATATTAAAGAAATAACGTGTTAATGTATTCTAAGATTTGCTTTCACAGATAATAATATGAAAGAAGTTGAATTTTGTTAGTTGTCATACAATGCTGATTTTGTTTGATATTTTATCTAGTAGATAATTGAGATATTATATTTCAATAGGAAGATATTTTTAGGTCAGTTTTATTTTCAGACTATTTATTTGAAATCATCATGATCATGAACAACATTAAATACTACAACAAATATATGCCAACAAAATTTAAATGCTTCTTGATATACAAGTGACATGATTCATCTAGAACAACAATATGATAGGTGAGTTCGCGTGTTTTTCAATTAATAATAATAATAACGATAGTTGGATATATTTAAATTGATCTTATGTTCACAAGTTTAACCATAGTTGTATTCTCGAAACATTGTAAAACTGCCGTTTAGAGAAAAAGACCTTGGATGAAAATAGATTTTCTTTTTATAGTGCTATTATATTCTACGAAAGAATTAATGGTGTCATGCTTTGACAGTAATCCTTCGGCTTTCAGTAAAGAAACGAACTTATGAAAGTGTAGTTGTTCTTGTGTTGAATAAATATAAATATATCACTCTCATCTCGTGTTAAAACCTTATATATTCATATTATATTATTGAAACAAAGCTATAGAATCAGCTAGCATGATTATGTATAGGACAATAATTCCTATAAAGGCTCTCAATTCATAATACCGAGAAGTTAAAACATAAATTTCACTGAATATTAGAGTATGTCGGTTTCAAAATTTTCAAATCCGAAACTGACCAGACGGGGTTTTATTGAGTATAGAAGGAGAAATAGTCAATCCTATGACCTCACTGTCAAAGAAAAAAAAGAGCTATTGATTCGTATATTCATTCGAATAGTAAGCTAGAACTAGCAGAACTAAATGAAAATATGTGAAGATTTTGAAGAAATGTAATATTCTTTAACTATTTTCTTCTTTTTTTAATGAAGTTTCGCAAAAATTAGCACTCCGAACAAGATAAGAGCCTTATACATGCTGATCATGTTGATAAACAATTTACCAACGATCATGCATCTCAAATAATAGACAGGTCGATTCACAGTCTGAATCTACATCAGACGAAACAAATAATTGAACAGCCGTGAACCACAAAGCTGAAAAAAATCAAAGGAATCGACTAGTTTTTAATGCAAGACTTTTAAATTGTTAATATTAATTCTATAATAAATTCTACCCTGTCTATGAAGCATCATTGTTTCTTCCAATGATAAATGAATAAAATTTTAAATAATGGTACAATATAGTCTACCACTTGAAGGATGAAATAATTCGACCAGACATATATCGAAAGAACTATCCGCAAAGCAAGCGGTTAGTTTTCTGCAAACAGTTATGCACTGAAAATATATATATCAGTACCTGTTGCAGTCGATCTTGATTGAAAAGGGAAAAGTTTCTACTCTCAATGAAACAAAAAAATCAATGTAAATAAAATCAACAAGAAAAAGTCACTTTAAAACTTCTAATTAGTATGCATACTAATGAATTTTGATTAATCTATAAAAAACCTTCGCAAAGCATTTTGCAATCATATCATCGTAGCGTTTTTTTTTTAATATCTTTTACCAGTTGTAGAATAATTTTCAATCTTTTAATCGTATCAAATTCGAAGAGGTCTATCTGTATCATGCTAGAAAATGAGTTCGAGAGTATAAGCTGAAAAAACCTACAATATTTATCTCATATGCAAGCCACAATTTGACGCAATTAGCATTCAGATCAGAGCCCGAAATGAACCGGAGTTTTCGGGTTCGGGTCCGGTCTGATTCAACATTAGCTTCAAAACATCTGTTTGAGTTCGGTGTGGTTTGACTTCAGTTTCAAAAATTTGGTTCGGGTTCGGTTCCGTTCGAATCGTATCTACTCGAAAAAACGTATAATTACGTTGAACGGGTGCAGTAGAACTGTAACTTCTAGTGACCCTACTGTCTGTCAGGTGATGTTTTTGCTCTGAAAGGATAAGAACACTAGCGTACTAATTTTAGATGGTTTTTTTCCAATTTTATTCCTAAATAGTCTATTGCCGGCTATTCATCGCATTGAATAGCAACGATAAAGAAAGAAAAAAAAATAGTCCGCTATGTATTAGCTTGCGACTGGTTGACCGATCGTCATGATAAACAACGAATCCTATTGATAACAAGACAAAATAGCAGTCCTACTGTGCTAAGAACTATTATGGTGTATAGCACAATGAATAAAAACTCGTTGTAGTCCTCATCAGCTCAATATACCCGAAGCAAACTATATTGTACAGTTGGAACGATTACTTTTACTTAGGTTCAACTCAACTAACCGAAAAGTTGGAAATAAGTTCAGGTTCGATTCGACTCGAATTTCAAAAACTCGGTTCGTTTTCGAGCTCTGATTCAGATTTTTGTAAAAACTTATAAAAATAGAAAAGAAAATGGTACACACATATTTTTTTTCTATTTTTGGAAGACATTGGATGATTCATTTGATAGTGAGAAATATTATTTGTTTTCGAAGATGCTTGTTCATTTGAATATTTTATTTAAAGCATGTTTTATATAGAATTCTTCGTTTTTGACATAGTTTTTACTGAAATCATATTTTATTTTCTACTGTTCAATAAAGAAAATAATGATTGTTTTGTTGGTGTTGAAAATAAGTTGAATTATAAAACAGAAAGATCATCATTTTTAAGTTTATCGATACTATTAAGTAATTTCAATCGAGGTCCCAATTGCATTTTAAAAATACTATTAAGGTGTTCATCTTGTAGAAGAGTAAGAGCTACTCCATCGATTAAATGTTCTTTGATTATGGATGCATAGCAATTCTTTCCAAGAACATGTTCGAAAAATGAACACACATCATCGATCTAAATAAACAAGAAAAACGACGTAGTCTAGTAAAAAACAACATATCTACTGGAATTTTTTAACCTTCTCCATTAGATTTTTTAAATTTCTATAGTTCAATCATACATCTATTAGTCACACAGAAAAAAACGATAGGAGTAGAAACAATGCAAGCTAAAGATGAGAAAGATATACGTTAGAGAATGGATGGTCAAGTACAATATGAAATAGATCGTTTCATTACTCAGTCTTCCTACTGTTATCTTCAAGAATTCAATAGAACTTTTAGAATTCAAGAATAACTGTTAATTTCAGTAAGTTGAAATCTATTAAATACCAAAACCTAATCCTACTATTGAACACTACCTGAAATGAATATTGGCGTTTCTATTGCCCATTTCAAAAGAAAAGGCGGGTGAGTATTTTTCGAATGATTTTTGACAGAACCCAGATAGAGAGCTGCGGTTTTCACCGTTGGAAAGAGGAGATGAAGACACATCGAATCGTATATTACAAGTTTTTCTAAAATGTGTCCTAAAGTTTTCTTAGCCAATCTTCTAAAAAAAAGGTGCCAAAAAATTGGTTTCTCATAAAATAAGAAAAACGCAGAAAAGTGATTTTTTTTACAGAAATTAATGGAAAAACCGACTCATAGTTTCAAGTAGAATACCTATAACTCCTGAACGAGTAAATCTAGAAGTTTGAACCTTACGCGGTTGTATAGTTCTTTCATTAGCGGTTCGAATACACATCTGATTATTGAAAATTCATTTTATTCATCATACGGAGTATGTTGATGTTCAAACACATCGGTGTAAATCCTTGAAAAACCCGAGTCAGATTATTCTATAATATACAGTTCCATGCGTCTCGATCTCCTCTTTCCAACGGTGAAAATCGCAGCTCCCTATCCTGCTTCTATCAAAAGTTATTCGAAAAATACCCATCCACCTTCTTTTTTGAAATGAGCAATAGTTTCTTTAACAAAACCTTTAACTTATATGATTTTCAAAACATTTACAATGCACGACGTAACTTCGATTTTGTATTCCCTTAGTTAATGTCAAAATACAAGACTATTGTCGCAAAGATATATCATTGTTTTAGAAATTTAAGTAACAGATATGAGATTTTTATATTTCAATTTACAGCATTCCTCAATTTAATCTATTAAAAGACTTTGTCATACAACTAAGCTTATACCGAGCAGCTTGGACTCGGTCTGTCTCGATTCATCTCAGTATCAATTCTGTAAATTTTATCTTCTCATAGGTAATTTTTTTGTAATGCGCAAATAGCGCTGCGTTATTTGTATTTGAAATTCATTCTTATATAATAATAAGTGTATTCAAAGTAAATACAGTTCATGATTTTGTTTGTATATACGGTAGTTTCTATACATCAGCAACAGAAGTATGTTGAATCGTAACATAGAGATTAGCTGTTTTCTCTACGTATATACCTTTATTTTTAAGAAATATTGATTAGTTAGAAAAGATTATGCGAAGAACATATTTCGGTCAAGAAAGACAATGTTAAACAATACATCTGTCATTTTGCTGAATAAAAATAAAAGAGCTTTGTAAGAGAACATCGTTGAGAAACAGCATATTGAGTTGCATACTTTAGATTAGAATATGTACCCGAGTCTGACGAAACGTGATCTACTCGAGTTCGACGCGCATCTGCTACAACAAGTTAATATATAGTGACTCGCAAAATTATTGGACCAAGTTTATTGTCATTTCTTTCCAATATCGTCAACACTAAAAAGAATCCGAATAGTGATTTAAGTAGAGAATTTCATTTCCAATAAGAGTTTCCGAAGATGAAGACGATTGGTAGTTTTTTAGCTTCTAGAATTGACAAATAAAACTCTATGTAAATTACCCAGAATGATAGAGGGAAGAATTCTCTACAAAATGAAATGTCTTCCAGCTCTCTATGATGTTTTTTCAGCGAGATACATCAAACACACGGAAGTCACAAAAGTCGTTTTTTATCGTCATTTCGTATAAAAAAACGCAATATTTATGCCTTTCATATGGCTGATGTGTCTCGATGACAAAACATCATAGAGAGCTGCAAGATGTTTCATTTTGTAGAGAATCATTCTCTCTCTATCATTCTAGGTTATTTAGTCAGAATTTTGTTTGCTAATTTTGGGAGCTAAAAATCTATCGATCACTTTCATTTTCGAAAACTCATATTGGAAATGAAATTCTCTACTCAAATCATTGTTTGATTTCTTATTAACGTTTACGACAGTGAAGAAAAAGTTGAACAAGAACCAGATCGAATTTTGCGAGTCACTGTACATTAGAAGCTGATTATTGTTTTATACAGGAAAATCAAAAAATGAGTATATTATACTTAAGAAAAGCATGATTTAGTTTTCCTATGAAATAATAACTTACACTCCACTGGTTAATATTTTTTGCCAAAGATGAAAAAGAAGTAATAGATTCGTTAGAAATGACTTTTTTATCTTGATTAACAATTTGTTCTATTGGTGTTAATCGTTCATTTTCTTTTCGTTGAAATGGTTCCGAACTTTCACGTATTATCCAATCACCAATTAGATGAGTTGTTATAGTGCCTTTTGATTTGTTTTCTAACATATTCTGTTCTTGATTATTTTTTATGATATTAATCGATGGTATTGGTGTTGATTTTACTGTTTGACAATGTTCAGTAGGACATACATTGAGTGGAATGAGTGTCGTTGTTACACGAGGAGTAGCTGAAATTTTGTATTCAAAAACAAAAAAAAAGAAAAATTAGAAAATGAACGATTCATTTTGATACTTACTAAATGATTTATATGATGGATAAACAGGTGTATTCTAGAAGAACAAAAAAAAGTTAATATATAAGTTGATGACAAGGAAAAAAAGAGCATGTTAAAAAAGTATATTTCAACCTGTTGTTGTTGTTGTTGTTGTTGATTTATCGATGATGGTGTGATTACTATTGAAAAATTGAAGAAATTATTATTTTTTTCTTGCATTTGATTTTATAAAAGTATCTACGTGATGATAAAGCAGTATTAATCGAAGTAGGATTGGTATTAATCAGTGTTACCATGCGGTTTGGTGAAGTTACTTGAGTATTTGTCCATAAAGACGACACAGGAATAATCTTAATAATAGAAAATTTCAAAGTTCAATCTCATTTAGTAAAACATTCATTTCTATGTTTTACACTATCAGGAATTCAACCGCGAACTAGATAAACATTTGTGTAAAAAGCATCATTCAAATCTTGTTTTTTACAACATAATCAAACAAAAACATTATCTTAACTCAGTTTTGCTGTGAAGATCTTTTATTAAATCAATGGCTTTATAGATCACTTGGAGAGGCCATTCATTTTGATCTTGAAAGTTCTATTGAATGATTCGATTCATTGAGATCTACTTGCAAGTATCGAACATTTTATGTTTATCGTCAGTCTTCATATCTTATACAAAATAAGATTTGTCGAACTTTATACTGTATTCTTTATATGAATACATAATATTAATTTACCTGATAATTATTGATTGGAATTGAAATTGATGGTGAACCTTTTGATAACGTATTCATACGACTTTTTAATCGACGAGTGAATTTGAAAGGTTTCTTAATGATAGAAAGAAGAGAGACAAACATTAGTAGAACGAAAATACCTATCATGAAATAGATTAATACCGTTGGTTTATTCTGTTTTAATATTAATGGTGATGACATAAGTAATGTAGGTGTAGTTGTACTATCAGCGGTTTTCATTTCCTTTTATTTTCTCTGAGTTTGTTCTTACGTATTTTGTTTGAATAGTAATAGACAACGGAGTAGTCTTGTATGTGTGTATGTATGTTGAGACGACTATTTTTTTCTCTTCTTCTCTACGATAGAGAAACGCGACGAGTGAGCGAAGAAATATTTTTTTTTTTGTATGCGCCTTTTTTTCTTTTGCTTCTTTCTTTTCTTTTCTCCGTTTGTTAATGGTCGTACAAGGGGTACGACGCTAAATGAAATAGTTTTTTTCTCCATTAATATCCAATCGGAACGGAAGAAAAGAGAAGAGAGAATAAGAAAAAAATGACCGTCTCCTTTTTTTTCCTCACCGATTCAGTCAATCAAATATTAGATTGAATCCTCCACATAGGAGACATTTATTAAGAACATGACATCTATTGCATCTATCGTTCAATTATGACTAATAAACTTTTTTTCTTTCTGTTCTGTTCTGTTTTGTTTCTATATACATATCCAAACTTGGTTTCTCTCTCATCTCATTACCGCCGAGCTCTTGACTCATAAAATCGAAAAATTTTGTAAATATGGTGTAATCAAGTATTGCTTAAGACAAATAATTGATATAACCTTGAATCTGACGTCAGGGACCTTTTGTTTTTCTCATAACTAAATTAAATGACATTATAATTGTTTTTTATCTAAAAATAGTATCTTGGTTTTTTTGACGAATTTAAATTTCATTCAAGATTTCTTTTTATCTTTTGAAATCGTCGTTTTGTTTTTTTATTTTCTCTTGAATAAATAATAAAATGTTATCGTATACATTTGCATATCTATGTTTTGTAATATTTTGTTGAAAAGAAAAACGTATTTTCAAGTATCAAATTAGTTTTCGCTTGCAACTATCATTATCACTGTTTGTCTTTTTAGCATATAATTAGATTTCATCTTTTTTTTTGTTTTTCGCCTATTTCTATATGCGTCTTTGTATTATATTTTGAAGTATGATATTTTGTAAAAACGAAACCTGAGAGAAAGAAAATAAAAATTGTTGTTGACGATGAATATAAGAATTTTTTTTCATTACGCTGACATATTATTTTATTGAATGAGATTTGTTTCTCTCCGTACTTGTGTCAAGGTCATAATAATCATAATGTTGACAACGAGAAGAAAAAAAAACAACAAGAGTGCATATAGCCTATTAGTAGCTTTTAATGAGGAAAATAAGAAATATTTTCTTTCAGGCATGAGTGAATCGAATGGTTTCTATTTACACTATTTAAATTGTTATATTTTATAATGATTATTGAATCTTCGACTATTTTTTTGCGAACATTAAAAAACATTAGAAAATATTTTATGGATATATGGGTCAGTATTATTCATAATATTGAATAGAAAGCAAAATTACGTTTGAAGAAAAAAAAAACCCTGATGTAAACGTGGCAATGACACGTCAGTATTAATGCTCATCACTAGCAACCTTCTTTCATATTCTATGATTGAAAGGTGAGGCAAAATTATGACGAAAAATTATGAAATACTTTGATAGAAGTATATATGTTTGTTCTAGTCTAGTGCTCTTTTTCTCTTTTTTTTCTATATTTGGTAAAAATGAAAAAACAAATAGAGGTTCTTTTATATATAAGCGCCATTTTTATTATTCGCCGGGGTCAGTCATTATGCATCATTATTACAATTTGCGAGGGGTAAAAGAAAAAAACAAGATTCATCTACTTTTTTTATTTCTATTAAGTTTATGTACATTGACGCCATGAGCTTATCAAGCCGCCATTTTTTTATGTCTTTCTCTTGTTTTTTTTGATTCAGAATGATGTCATACAGAAAGGAAAGAAAGAGAAAAACAACAGGGAAAAAATGAGCGGTAAATATGCTATATAAAGGGGACTCCGACACTGTAACTATGGTCTCTCATTTGCTCTCACCCGCGATAGAGAACAGAACCCAAACGACGCACAATTATCCGCTGAAGTACTTGCTATCATGAACAAATATTTGCAACACATCTATACATAATTTTTTATATGAGAGTCGATCTGCCTACGGTTATTATTCCTACAAATTAAATTCTGAGTATTAGGTATTATGGTATTTTTCGTAAGATATTGTTTTATTTCTATAACGAGCTATTTTTAATAATTTATTTATGTAATTTATGGATTGCATGGTTACCAGTTTGCTCTAGAAAAAAAATTCTTAAGTTTTTTCTAGCAATGACATTCAAATGCAATTACTGTCAACATTCTTCTCTTTTACAAAAAAATCCGATACTTTTCTTTCTTTTAGACGTCATAAAAAAAAAGGAGTTTTGATATTGCTTTTCTCTATTTCAAATCTTCTTTTCTTTTTCTTTTTTGTTTTTGGTAGTTTGTTGTTTTTTCGGAGTCAAAAGAAACAAGCGTACATCAGGCAACCTACTTTTTTTTCTTCTTATTTACTGACGGTTCTTTTTTTCTTTTTTTTTTCTATACGAAATGAAAACAAAATGAAATCATTTTCTTTTTGTTTTTCTATTTTTTTTTAATTTTGGATGCTTTTTACCATTTAAGGCAAGAGTAATATGAATACCATTTTCAACTTCTTGAAAAGAAAAATAATCGTATGCTATTCTATTGTATTTCAGATTACAAAAACAAGAAAGCAAAAAAGATTATAAATTATGTCTTTCTTATAGTCGTCATAGTCGACTAACGAAATCCTATTTGTACGAGTCGGAATAAGGATTGAGTTGGTTAACAAACATATATGTGTGTATAAGAGGGCATCTATTAAAAACAAAATACTGTCAGCGATTTCGACTGCTACTACAATTTTGTAATCATCATTAAAGACATCAACAACAACAACAACTACAGCAATAGTGAAGGGTATACATCGAACGGCAAAGTGACAAAAAAAGTGTCTAGCAAAAAGGAAGAAAGAAAAAGAAAAAAAAATCGTGTTTTATATATTCTCGTCATCGATTCGGGTATGTTTCATAGTGGAGAGGAGCACAATCGTACTGTCGACTCCTTTAACGAATTAGAGCATTTATATGAATCAGCAGCAACAAATGAAACAACATATTCAACAAATACATTTGAATTTGATCAAATCATCCCAAATGATTTTGAATCGTTCGAACTCGTCATCAACTGTGATTCTGGACGAAGCGATTTATGGGGATCAAATTCATCCACCTGTCCCACTGTCGGCGAATCTCAGTACACCACTACGTTCAGCCCTGAAGACAAGTGGCCTATTTAACAAAGGTAATCCATTTATTAAAATAAAACGACGTCATAATGAGTTTTTTTTTCAAATTCAATAGATTGGGAATCATCTGACGCATTGAATGAGCTTTCTGCAAATGGTAATCAATTTACACTTCATCGGCTTCTAAGTGACATTGGTGTTAATGATTTGAATTTTGACATGAATGAAATGGCTAAATTTGATCCAATGAAATTTTTTGATGTTAAAAATATTAGCGAATTTGTAAGTGGGAAAAAACGATTTTATTCTTTTTCTTCCTTTCCTTGATGGAATTTCGAAATTACTTTATCAGAGAAAGATAAGATAGCTGATCTAAACAATGGACTCTTTTTTCTATTTATAGTTACAAAGTGATTCATTCGATCAAATGAATACGTTAGACGATATTGATTCAAATCATATTGATAGTATATTACCATCTGCAACAGCTTGTTCATCAGGATCATTTTCAGAATTTCATCCACCAACACCAGAACAACCACGAAATGAAGTATTCCATATAGAAACAAATCAATTAAAAATAGAACCAGATAATTTATTAGTTTATACTGAATTAAATTCATTTGATAATTTCGTATCAACACCATCAACAACATCAGCTCCTATTGCACAAGAATTCAATTTTGATCCAAGTGTTTTAGCTGCTTTTGAACATGATTATGGATATTTACCTAAACGAACAACAGTTTTTGATACACCATCACCATCACCAACAATTTCTAAACGAACACCAACACGTGGACCACGTCGTACATCATCTCGACTTCAATCACGTGCTACATTAATTGATTTCAATCAAATATTAAATGAAAATACATGTTCATCACCAACAATGTCTGACTGTAGTTCCATATCATTAAAAAGGACTAGACAACCACGTCATATTCATCGTGCTACAGATATTAAAACAGAAGATGACTTATCATATTATTTAGAAAGACGTCGAAAAAATAATGAAGCATCAAAAATATCTCGTGCAACACGAAAACAGAAATTTGGTGATATGGATTTTCGATGGTAAAAAAAAAATGAAAAGAAAATTTTGTTGATTTATTGATAATTTTCTTTTTTGTTTTTATTTTAGTGCTGAATATGAACGTGTTAATGTTGAACTTCGTATGAAGATTTCAACACTCGAAACTGTTACGGCCAATTTAAAAAATGGTCTTATCCGTAATTTTCAACGTAAAGGTGGTGTTGAACCAAAATCCTAATCATTGATGTATGCATATATATGTACGTGTGTGCGCTTTCTTTGTTTGCTCTATGGATTTTTCATTCATATTTGTCAAATATTTAATCATATTTTTCTAAATGTTCAATGAGCATCCTTTCACTTTCTTTCCCGAGTGATTGCTTTTTCTCTATTTCTGTTTAGTCGAGAGAAAAGAAAAGTGCGTTCTGATAGTATGCAATATATATATATATATATATAGGTTTTTTCTAATTTACTATCAGTTCGTGAAGCCTGCGCATACATATGTATGTTTTATTTTACCTTTCGGTGAAAAAAAAAGAATTAAGAGTAAAAGTAAAAAAAAAAGACAAAAGTAGAAAAGTAGACAAAAAAAACGCAGTTTTTTGTTTCGTTTTTGTTTCTCTTGCTTCTAGTTTTTCTTGTAAACTCAATTTGTCGAGAAAAAAAAATTTTCGATAAAAAAACATGGCGCATATCTATATATATGTTTGTCTCTCTCTCTCTATGCATTTGTGATATACTTCTTTGCTCTCTTTCTCGCTCTATATATTGT